TTTTAAGAAAAAATGGTATGTAGTGCTAACTTGACACCATACACCTATTCGATAGAATTGAGATATTGAAAATGTTATAACGGCATTAATTGTAGCTTTTAGCTTTAAAATTTGTTGTGGAAAGAAAAAAATTGTAGCTCTCGTTTTTTAAGAAAAAATGGTATGTAGTGCTAACTTGACACCATACACCTAGTCGATAGAATTGAGATATCCAGTATGTTACTATGCCATTAATTGTAGCTTTTAACTTTAAAATTTGTTGTGGAAAGAAAAAATTTGTAGCTTTCGTTTTTCTGGAAACAATTGAGTTGACCCTTTTTCGAACAAAATTTAGTATGTAGTGCTAACTTGACACCATGCACCATTGACGACAGAATTGAGATATTGAAAAGGTTACAACGGCATTAATTGTAGCTTTTTTGTTGTGGAAAGAAAAAATTTGTAGCTCTCGTTTTTTAAGAAAAAATGGTATGTAGTGCTAACTTGACACCATACACCTAGTCGATAGAATTGAGATATCCAGTATGTTACTATGCCATTAATTGTAGCTTTTAACTTTAAAATTTGTTGTGGAAAGAAAAAATTTGTAGCTTTCGTTTTTCTGGAAAAAATTGAGTTGACTCTTTTTCGAACAAAATCTAGTATGTAGTGCTAACTTGACACTATGCACCATTCACGACAGAATTGAGATATTGAAATGTTACAACGGCATTAATTGTAGCTTTTTTGTTGTGGAAAGAAAAAATTTGTAGCTTTCGTGGTTTAAGAGAAAATGGTATGTAGCGCTAACTTCCATTGTCGATGGAATTGAGATATCGAGAAAGTTACTACGTAGCGCTTGAAATGATATTTAATAAAAGTAGGAAATAATAGATTTCGATGGGTAGTTGTCAGACTGTCTCTAAATTTTACTGCAGGGTACTTATTAGGGCTTTTTAAATTATTCGAATAATGCGATTATTCGAATATTCGAACGTTCGATCGGCAATTATTTGTACGATTGCTAATCGAATGTTACTATTCGAATAGTTGATTCCTTTCGATTATTCGAATAGCCGCAAAGCTACGATTATTCGAATACCTCATTAAAATCGAATATTTGATGGTTGTAATAAGCGTTATTTGTCAAACAAAAAAATGTGAATTTATAACCTGCTAATTTATGTTGTTGCTTAATAACTACAATATTTTCTCAAAACAAACTTATGTGGGGCATTCCAAACTGACGGGTGGGACATTTGAACTCGTTTTTGCTAAAACTTTTAGTAATTTCTCTTTAACCATTAAATCGGCCAGTTTCAAATAGTTAACACTTGAAGTCAGATATCCGTTTCATACGAAACTGATAAAGTATAAAACTTAATCATATAATTTACATACAATTTTTCCAAGAGGGACGGGTAGGACAACGATGACACCCACTTCACTGAGTTAATGGATTGTTTACCAATTTGAGACAAACTATAACGTCTTTGTTTTTGCAAAACCGCCCATCGACTAATTGCAAGACCGCCTATCTTATGGCACTTAAATTTTACAGGAGAGAAAAAACGTGGTTTATTTGAAGGCATTGCCTTGATAGGCGCTATTTTCTCTAGCTATTATTTTACAAATCTGTTGTTTT